AGAAGCTCAGGACTTCGGGGAGCGGAGTTTGCCATTCTACCTCATTCATTCTTTTCTCTATTTCTAGCTATGAAAAAATTCGGAAAGTGTGCGAATGTGCGATGTGTAGGCCTATGCTAGAATAGAAAGGCAATTTTTTTAGATACTTTGAGGCGGAGATACGATTTTTAACAGAAAAGTTCGTTTTCGGCTACTATCAGATTTCAGCTTGAAACTTTAAGTGGAATACGATTTGGGCAGACTTTTGATAGCCACCTTGTAAAGCTTGCTTTGCCCTGTCCAATGATTACTCAAGCCACATCAGATGAAGAAAAGATACGAAAAGACGACGGTTGTAGTAAAAACGGTAAAAAATTATGAGACATTCTAATATGTTCAGGTACTGCATCAAAAATCCTGACTAGACTTACTTAAATAAAAAAAATTGTAGACCTCAAAAGCAGTGTCCAATTAGATCGGAGTTTATGAGCTTTCGGTATGATACCAAAGCGCTTTAATTAAGCAACGTCACAAATGCGCACCCTGGACCTAAAACTTGGATTGGATCACTCTTCTGAAAGAATTTTCTCGATTCGACCCCTCATTTAGGTTGTGAATTGGTGGTGCTACTTTTCGTGCAAGGGGAAATCCAATAATCACCGTTCTGGCCGGACACTCCTTTCAAAGGATGCTCAAAACGGTTTATTCTGTTAAAAGTCACACTGGTTCGGCAAACGAAGAAGTTTCAGTTGCAATTCTGTACAAATTCTTGCTCGGAAAGGTGTCCGACTAATGACTGGAAGTTGACTTTGTGAGGCAGGTTTCTGTATATAACTAACCAGCAAAACCTGTAGCTTAAACTTGATTTGTGTCCCATTGTTTTTCTTGTTTTTATGTATTTCAAAAAAAAGTGCAGCAAAGCGACGTTACAAACAAGTATGATCTAACGATAAGCATAATCACATTACGATCAGATTGGTGCACTAACTATGCTTTTATTGCATACCCCTGAAAGGAAGAATATATTTGTTTGAAAAGGAGTGAAGAGCGGAAAAAGTAATAGAAAAGGAATGCATTTGATGGATGTTGCTTTAACCGGATAACCTACTAAAATATCTTGTGTTTATGCACCATTGATAGCTTTATATGCATGAAGTGTACACAGATTAATTATAACCAATAACATTTGTGCACTTCGCAGGTGTACATTGTCCATAATTCGTAGTCATACAAAGGTTGTGTCTCTTGTTTCGGAGAAGCGTGTTTGTGCTATCGTGTGTAGAGAGAGAGAGTACATTACTTGAAACAAAGTAAATCTCATATACAACAGCACTATGAGGAGCACTCCACTTTCTATATTGTTTCAGATTTCACGCACTTGTATCATCTATTCCAGCAATAGCGAATGTCTACATGGTTTAGCGTCATATGATACAAGTCCAATCGCCATGGTTTTGCGCCAAGTCTACAATTTGCTATTTTAATTGCAAAATCATTAGTCGAATTATACAATTAATTCGGAAGAAGTTGATCTATGGACTACAATTCTATTAAGGGAACAAAGTAGCAAACTTGTTTGACTGATAGGAGTTCCTACTGAAACTGAAAAACAATTGAACGCCCACCTTCCAGTGGCAGACCGAGGGTGACCCCCCTTAAGAATGGGTAGAAAAATTTTGAAAGCTGTATTACTGGCAAATAATTTGAAGCAATTTCTAAAAATTTTTTGAAGATTCAAGCTAGCTGGTGAAAGAATTTTTTTTTCAGAAATTTTTTTTTTCATTTTTTTTTCACGCTCTCTTTTTAAAGCTGGTTAGGGAACCGCGAAAAGTTTGGGATTTTAAAAACTAGGAGTGCTTCCATCAAAAAACATTTTGCCCTCTTTCTCCTACAAACACACGAAGAAATCTCTTCCGATAGCCAGCTACCTTCATGGTTTCTCAGAGGCACTGTCCATCCAAAATGGGGTCTATAAGTTTCGATCTCTTACAGTTTAAAAACTCGGAGTGCTTCCATCAAAAAACATTTTGCCCTCTTTCTCCTACAAACACACGAAGAAATCTCTTCGGATAGCCAGCTACCTACCTTCGTTGCGGGACTCTCAACTGTACAACTGCCCAACTCGGGCTGTCTGAAATTGCTTCCAAAGCGAGAAAATCACTTCGAAAATCCTTCGGAAAACGAATTCACCACGTTGGCCCCTCGCCTTTGAGTGAGCGGCACGTTCTTCCACCCCAATCCGTCTTCCGAAGGATTTCGCCTAGCAGGCGCAAAGGTCAAGAATTCGATCAAATCATGCTAGAATGCCCAAATGACACAGCAGTCCTCTGCGTCTCTGCCCTGCGGTGGGTCAGCAGCTGGCCCGCGGCTGATCGGCAGGCGCGAGGAGTTCTCTCTACTACGGATTCTGAAGGGCATGTAGAGGTCAATAGTTTGTGATTTCCGATCAATTTCAGGTCTGGTTTTAAACCCAGCGTGCGCAAGAGGTGCGAAAAAGGACAAAATCTCAAGTTCGAAGAATTTGGGTAGACGTACCTTCAAGCACTTAGTTGGACCAATTTTGATGACAACCGATAATTTCTCAACTGATATTCGCTCTCAGCATATCAATCGGAGAAGTTAAAAGCAGCGTCTCGTCAAAATTGAGGTTGCGCGGAACCATGTTCTATTGTCGGCCCCTCGAAATAGGCTATTGCAACAAGTCCTTTTGATCTCATTTACAGGAAGAAAAATGCGCTCAAAGTGGTCCGCATCTAGTAATTTGGTCCGGACTCGGACTCGGCGATCTCTCCGCCATACGTGTTCCAACACTGTTCCAACACGTCCATTCACTCAACGCCACAATGTTGGTGTTGCTGTACTGTGACGGAGGCTAAGATGAAAGGCACAACTTTTCCATGTTGCTTCCATGCGGGCTTCATGAAACGGGGGTTTTTGAAGACTTTATGCAATCTTGAACCTCAACATTGTTCACAAGGTTGTAAGATGCAAAAAATCTTGGCAACCATATTTCGGTGAGGCACTGCTTTCGAGTAAAGGCGATTCTTCTACAAGTACATGCTTGAAAGGGAAAAGTTGAATAAAGACGATTTGAAAAGTAAAGTAAAGACGATTTTCCTACAAAAACATAAACTGTCTCAAAATTATGTACACGCTACTTAATTGCAAATTACTCTTACCTGAACTCGTCAGCGGAGCTATGGGTACCATTACCTAGGGCTGATTATAGCTTATGTTGAATTTACAGTACAAAACGAATCACCGCTCTTCCCTACTTTAGAATTAAGCAAACATTTTTAAAACGGTGGTGAGCCATTGAGGGTCATAATTTGCTTTAAAAGCGGAACTAGAAACAACAATCTAAAAGCACCATCATAGTCAAATAGCTGAACCCAGATAAGAAATTTGCGCTTTGTAGGCAAAGTTCGTTCATAAGATATGCGGTAACCGTGACACTGCTTTCTCAATTTTTCCTGAAAATTACACAGTTTAAAAAGACTTATAAAGGAAAGTCGAGCTGGCGTGCTCGAAAATCCGCTAAACGCCTTTCAGATTTGTTCGATTTTTTCTAAAATGCAGCCGTAATGCAGCTATTTCATAATCGCAAATGCGGAAAGTCCCTATCATGACTCTGACAAAGAGAAGTTGGTTTTTCGTACTGTATTGTGATGAGTTGGAGTCAGTTCTACAAAATTGTAGCTGTAGTCCGATAACACATTCAAGTAGTGGGCACGTACTCTTGAGATACCCTGCATATGTAAAATCACATTGGTAACCCACATGTGAAATGGTACATACAGAGTGCTTCACAAGTACGTATACATTGTTGATTTGTCTGCTGCGCCGACGTCCTGTGCGAATTTCAGAGTACAGCGCTGGAAGGCAAATTAGAATTACAGTACAGAGCGAATCATTGCCCTCCGTTATTTGATCACAAATAAGACCCAGCAAACCAGCATCATTAGATTAACTGATTAGAGATAGATAGTTTATAAATAGATCCAAGAATTTGCTTAATGGGATGTACACGTCAACTCTAATGACAGAATTTTGTGGTCTGCAAGTGCTGTTTACGTGGTATAATCAATCTTTTGAAGAATACCGCATTCTTAATTTAGATATACTGCCAAGTTGAAGAGTAAATTACTCTCTGAGCTTGATCCCTCTACCCTTGTAATCTCCTTGTAGAAACGTTACAATTCTTGACTAGATCTTTATGATTATATCGTAACAGATGTGATTTGGAGGACCAGCTCGTCTGAAGTTGGTGGCACCGACCACTCAGACAATCAATGGGAACTTCCCGAGGTCCGTGAGGGAACTTTCCTCGGGTCACCTGCGGAAGTTCCCGTGAAGCGCTCGGGAAGTTTGCAAAAAAGTCCTCGGGAAATTCGCAAGAAGTGGGAAATCTCCCGAGAACTTATCTACAGAACTTTCTGAGGGCTTCACATTGGCTCCGCGTAGCTGTACCGAACCTTCATGATGAATCCTGCTACTTCATAAAGCCGCACCCTTAGTACAGCTACTCAAAGTAGTGTAGTAGTAAGGGTGGAGCACTAGTAGTAGTTATACGCAAAAACAGATATGCTCCATCATTTATTGTTATAGCAGTAGATATAACATATCGACGGAGGGAATGGGAGAATTTCTTCAAGTTCTTAAAAGATCGAATTACAGTAGCCCGGATAATGCGTAAGGAGTATCATATTGATAGTGAGATATGAAGTAAGCATGTAGTGAATATAGAGGTAAGCGGGGAGTAAGTAAATGAAGCACTGATTAATGAGAAACATGCTTAACTAATGAGGCAAAGGCACGATGTTACATGAGAAGACTTATGATGGATCAGAAATTAAACATCAGGTTCAAACAGGACAGCGACGGGATCAAATTCCACTACTGTGTAGCGCTTTCCTCTTCCATTCTGACTTCGTCATACTTGCCTTGTCCTCTCTACCAAATCCGACCTGCGTAGCCTTGTATTTCTGGAAAACAAATTTTTAGTATAAAAACAACTGAGACTAAGTTTGAACCTTTGAAGGCACAAGTTTTCCCTTGTCGAGGCGATAATAACGGACATCCTCGCTGTAAAACTGAATTTAGAAGCAGAAGACGATTCTGGAAAACTTACAGTGCTTCTGCGATACAGGTCCTGATTTGGCCGCAGTAGAAAGTTTTTTGCTCCAGCAGATAGTTGAACTTTTTCTCGCGTTCTTCATCGGATGTACCCAGAGAGATCCAGTAACTAAATCATTTGAGTAGGTAAAGACTGCTTACGAAACACCAACGCACCTAGTGCGCAAGCTTCTTATCGAATTCAATCTGTATCCCTCCAAATCCTCGTTGCCGAGGCTAAGCGCATCCAATACGAAATCTAAAGAATGATTTGAATGAGAATTTCTTACATGACTAGTTTCGTACCGTTGAGTGTGATAACTATGGACTCAGGCAGATCTTGTAAATCCGGCTTGCGCGATACATTAGATGTACGATGAGCAAAATTCCATATATCTGAGGGATCTGGTCCACAAACCTACAAATCTCGCTGTAGTCCACTCATATTTACTTAACTAGATTTTTTTATTATACTTACATGTTCATTGGTTATGAAAGTTATGAACATGAATGGCCAACCTGTCTGAAGATCACACGTGAAAAGTCATTGATGACGAGCGAAGTCTTGTGTTTGACTCTACTCGGAGCTGTGTAGCCGGCGAGAAGCTCGTTGAGGTTTAGTTCCTATGATAAGCATAATTGGCTTTGGTTAATTTTTGATCCTAACTACCTTGAATGGTGAACTACGCTTGATTATGTGCTGTTTCTTGAGATTATCAGGGCTGAAGCTTATGGTGGAAGAGGACTCGCTGATTCCGCTAGTAAGCTTGTTGCAGATCTGTCGCAGTACATGGATTTGAGACTCGAGATCTCTGTTCTTTGTTAGCAGAAGATTAACCTGTAGCGAGCAATGCTGATTCAAATGCTTAAGCGTGACGAATCCTACTTTCCCCCTTAACCGATACATAAAAGTCGTCACAGCTGCACTCACCAGCACGCGGTTGGATATCGCGTTTTCTACCAAGAGCCGCGTTGTTTCGATGTTATCAAATAAAGAAATACCATGCCTAGAGCGCTCGGCGCTCTGCACCAATCTAGACAGATCCTGTAGATCGAACTGAGTTACTTGCCTACAATGGTGGAGCGTCTCCTAAAAAAGATTCTTTCCTTGCGTGCTGCGAAAAGAAGCAGGAATACCTGCAGAGTGACACTTGATAACGGCGTTCCTCTTGCAACCATTGCATAGAGCGGGGTTGAAAATTCCGTGCTTCCAATTTCACGCGACAAACATGTGCGCATTACGTCTAAAATGGCTTTTGCAATGTAATAAACCATGTGAACAAAATCGCCAACCCAAAGCGTCCGACTGCAAGGTAGGTTGCTGCGAGGGAGGTGCCGAACCGACTGGCGCCCTTTCAATTCCTATTAGATTTTGACTCTAGAAAACATTCTGGCGCATACAGATGAGTTTACTAGAAACCTGGTTCATTTGACCAAGGTACTTGTTGCGATGTGCCTGGCTCCGAAGAAGATGACCATCCTATCTGCTGCGCTGAACCATGCTCTGAAGAAGAAGTAAATAGTTCTGTTCAGAACATGGCTACGAACCTGTCACATCTGGCGAATGTACGGTAGACGTATGCAGTGCTTGAACAGGCTCTAGAGTCGCATATACTCGTTCCAACCCCACTAAATTATGTTTCACCAATTTTTGAGATTGTAAGCTTGAAATGAGGTATAAACGCACGTTCAGAGGAATCCGAAGAGTCGCTCCTTGGCTTTTCAATTTCAATTTCTTCCACATCATCCAAAACCTCCTTCTTAGGCTCGCACTAAAAAGTGTGCAGAGGCCTAATCAACATTACTTGCTTATTAAGCTTCCACTCAGGTTTCAACCTTCCGGCAAACATACCCTTAGCTGCCTCTAATCTCTCACTTCCTTCGTCTTTCCGGAGTGGAACCTACCATAAACAATGGTGACTCTTCGCGCTTAGGTGTTGCACCTCTTTTAGTCTTCATTTTGACTGTCTTCATTTTGACTTGCGACTGCACGCGTTTTAAAGACTTAGCCTTTTTGTAAGCCATCAGAGTTCTAAACAAAGCGCATGAATGAGGAAATAGAGGATGTTAAAAAACCCAGCAAACTGTTGCTCCTCTTCTCCTCGCGATCTAAAACATATGGAGATTTTTAAGAAATATCAATGTAAGGAATCAAGGATCAAAGGTGCACAAACATCCTCAAGAAGACAGTAAATAAGAAAGTCAGCATATATACTTTATCCTAAATTGCAAGCATATATACTTTATCCCGAATTGACGAAGAACAGAGAAAAGATGGAGACTGGTGATATGCATCTACACAGAGCCTTACAATTTAAGAGCAAACATTCTATTTCGCATATTAACGAAAACAGCGGGTCTCAAAATATCAGTGCAGTTGACCCATTTAATGCCAAGGAAATTAACTTCATGAAAGTGGGAATTGTTAAGAGAGACAATACGAAGGAGTCTCCGGGCTCTGTCTGAGCCTTCTAAAGTTTCCAAAGCCTCCATCAAATTTGAAAAAGGATCCACAGTTGAATAATGCTCAATGAGAGCGAATGAGCTTCTTGTGAGCGCATGATAGCTGACCAAGAGCAATTTTCCGTAAGAAATCACCATATTATTCCCGCATGAAACTCTGAGGTATAAGCTAGAGGCATCTGTATCAGTGGTCCTTTGCCAATACACTTTAGAGGATAGGACCTTTCCGCTGACGACCAAGCGCGAGCTGAATCAGGAGTGTGTTGGGAATCAAGGATGTGTTGACCTAACTAGATTTATGAGAGACTAAGCCAAAAAACCTACTATATTTTGACATCGCGTAGACCCCTATGGTGACGCTGGAAGATTGCCCGATGTTCTTCGCACAGGTTATCTTCTCTTACTTCGGAATGTTGCGGAATATAATAACCGGCTCCCAGTTGGACTTGAAGGGGAAATCTTAAAGGATAAACCCATAGAAAATAAGATTGCACGATGTATAGTCAATTTACCTTTCCTCTTCATTTTGCATATCGCGAAGCAATTTAGCAAAATTCTCCGAGCGATTTTTTTCTACAGCCCTTTCCAAGAGCCTTACCAATTTTTTGATGGTGACGAATCTAAAATGCAAGGACAGTGTAGGTCATGCGCTGATCTTGTGGATACCTAGTCAAAATTCTTGCATCCGAATTTGTCACAAATTGGTTGTGGGGTATCTGCAAAACACGGTGGATGGCCTCGAACGGTGCTGCAGACCACAAATACGGACTCCCATGCTGCTCAATCTCATCCACTATACAATGATCGAAAAAATTCTAAACGGTAGGATTGTTTCGAGGGTAAAAAGAGACAGAACGTGGGCCTACATGTGTTTTGATTGTGAAAATATCTTGTGACAAGCAACTCCAAATTTGCTTCACGTGCAGCGCCACAGATTGTATAACGCGAATCTTGACTGTAGTGAGATCTTCCAAGGCCTGCAGTTCTTTCACGCAAAACCAGTAGCCCACGAGAGAGGCGCTACTTAGAGCAGAAGGACACATCGCTAGTGCTCCTACGAGC